ACTTTAAAAAGGCAATAAAAAGTAATTTAACTTCCTTAAAAAAATTGTAACAGGTAATAAAAGCAGACCCAGTGCTTTGCAGGATAGTGTTAAAAAATGTTTTTTTTTAGTATTAAAATGTCTGACAAATGTTTTCATAAATGTTAGTGACAATCTAGTGGAAGCAAGGTTTCTGCAGATTTCACAAAGACTTTTTAAGGGTCGATTACATAGAACGCATTTTATTTGTGTTGAGAGGTGCATCTTTTGAATGGTTTCCAAATGGCCGCAATCATTTTGCGTGCTGCTTTTACGACCTGCACGCCTCGTGTTTTACCTCCCTGCTGTGCCTCGCGTTTTTTGCCACTGTGTGACTGTCTGCTTTCAGTTGAGAAAAGTCAACTCTGAGCGGAGAAGGTGCGTCACGACAGTCGTGTCTTTTTCATTCTCCAATCAAGTAAAAGCAGTGGCGGGGTTTCTGTTGAGGTGACAGCCGTGTTTGACGACTATGGAGACATTTAAAGATGAAGGAGACACTAGCAGTCGCTGTTTCAAGTTCTGCAGAGCTGTATGACTTTACAAATCTTGAATATCACAGTATTATTAAACATTACACTTATAATAATAACAGCAACACTCACGCACCGGGCTTCTTTTTTTCCTGTCAACAAATTTTGGAACGTTCCATTTTTGGAACTTAAAAGCGTGTTTAGTGTGATCTGCCCTAAAACCTTTTAAAGACTATGATGAGCGAAAATTGAGATTTATACTGGGATAAATGCCAAAGATTTTTTCTAAGACTTTTTAAAGTGCCGATAAGAACACGCTTTTTGTTTTGAGAGGCGCATCTTTTGAATGGTTTACTAACGGCCGTTTTGTGCACTGCTTATGCGCCCTGCACTCCGGTTGTTGCTAGAACAGATATGGGGTAATGTCTAGATAGAGTACACAGTCGTTTGGAAGTGTTATATGCACATCAATACAGCAGCATTTTTTATGACACTGTATAACAATAATTAATATTTTTACAGTAGTGTGATGGCTGGGTTTAAGGTTAAGTTTGGGGTAGACGTTATACAATACAATTCATTGGGTAATTTAATAGATAACATAAATAATACTCAGAACAACTACTGTTGTTACGTTACTGTGGTGGTTGAGTTTAGGGTTGGGGTAAATGTAATAAAATACAATTAATTGGACATGTAATAAATAAATATAAATCGTTTTTGTTAACTTCCGGCCGCAACCATTTCAGATCTAGCAATAACCCATAGATGGTTGTGGCCTGAAGTTAATGAAAAATATTTATATTATCTATTACATTTACTATTATTGGTATTTTTTTCCTATTATTGGTCTACCCCCAATCCAACTCTCACAGTAACTTAAAAACAGTAGTTGTACAGAGTATTATTTCATTTATTCATTCATTTTCTTGTCGGCTTAGTCCCTTTATTAATCCGGGGTCGCCACAACAGAATGAACCGCCAACTTATCCAGCACATTTTTACGCAGCGGATGCCCTTCCAGCCACAACCCATCTCTGGAAAACATCCAACCTAATATGTATAACTCGAACCAGGCTCATTTCTCTTAATTTAAGGCCTAAAATTTTGTTTTTGAAATTTAAGACTTTTTAAGACTTTTTAAGACACTGGGGTGACCTTCTTAAACCCTGGTAAAAATCAAAGTCTCTTTTTTTTTGATGCTTGAAAACATTTTCCTCTCATCTGTTGTTGACATCACGCATAGTGTTTGTGGCTCAGCTGCGTGTGTATTGTGCCCTGCTGCGAATGTGCTCAAGAGTCCGTTTAAGCTTTTCACAGCTTTAATTGTTATCAGATGTAAACACAGAGAACACTACAGGCAGGGGTCAAACGAAAGGCCTAAAACTAGTCACACCATGTCACTTCAGTTCGTCAGCACTCATTTATACATGGTGTCTGACAGCTGTCAGTCCAGTACTAACTTCCCTGTACGTGCCCATTCCCCCTGTGGCTGTGTAGACATTAGAGATTTCATAAAAATAGCAACATGCTGTACACTCTACCAGTCAGATTTGTTAATGTTTTAAAAAAGGCAATCCTGCACTACATTTCTTTGATCAAAAAAACAGTAAAAACTGTTAAATTGTCAAATATTATTACGATTTTGAATCAGAATATTTATTTATTCCTTTGAATCAAAGCTGAATTTTGACAATTACTTCAGTCTTACGCAAGTGTCAAACATTTCTTCAGAAGTAATTATAATTTTAGTTTGAATATTTTTTATTAATTTCCAAACCCTAAAACCCTAACCAAGAATAGAACAAAACATAGGTTTCAATTACTTCAGTCTAAATGTATAAGTATTTCGACAAACAGAGCAATGTTAATAATGATAATAATAACAATATTAATAACAACAAAAATAAAACAAATATCATATTTATTACTTAATATGGTGCCATATATTACAGAATTGTTTACCCGATCCTCTTAAAGAGTATCTAATTTTTTTAAGGTAAAGACAACACATCATCTTTCTAGTTCATTAAATAAGGTTGGGTGGAAGGGGATTTTTCCATTTGAGCAGAATTGCTCTGCGTGCTAATAAAAAAGACAAGAACCTTACACTTTGACACAAATAAACATGAATCTTTTGGGGTGTATCCAAATAATCAGATTTATCATCAAACTATAAGTATGTTAAGTGAAAGGTATCTATCTAATGGATTATCAGGGGGCACAGTTGGAAAATCTGGCAGAAGTAATTTAACATAGTTAGTTTCTTACTAGCAAAAATGAAAAATATTTAGCTGTTAACTGCTCAAAAGAAGCAAATACATAGTCCATAAACAAATCTAAACCATATTAATTTGGATGTAATGTAATGTAATGTAATGTAATGTGTATTTATATAGGGCATTTATTGTTTATGGCCATACACCTAAAGCGCTTTACAATCATGAGGGAGGGTCTCTCCACACCACCACCAGTGTACAGCATCCACTTGGATGATGCGACGGCAGCCACAGGACAATGGCTCCAGTCCGCTCACCACACACCAGCTATTGGTGGAGTGGAGAGACAGTGATAGAGCCAATTCAGTGGATAAGGATGACTGGGAGGCCTAGATCGTAAGGGCCGATTTAGGAACTTTTGGCCAGGACACCAGGGTTACACCCCTGCTCTTTACAAGAAGTGCCATGGAATTTTACTGACCACAGAGAGTCAGGACCTCGGTTTAACGTCTCATCCGAAAGACAGCAATGACTTGGATGACTTGCTGCTCTATTAAGATTGTTTGCAATCTTAATGTTACATTTTAAATACAATTCTTAAATACAATTATAAATGTAAAAATACATTTTAAATAAAACAGAAAGTTCAAAACAATAAAAGCTATTATTTTATATTGTTTATCAAAGAATGCTAAAAATAAAATGTATCACAGAATTGTTATTACATAAGAGCAATATAATTGATTTTGTAATTATTTTAACTTTAGATTTTTTTATATGTGAACTTTTATTGTTTAATTGTATTTATTATTATTATTTTTAAGTATATTGTAATGTTAATATTGATTTTACTGATTGATATTATTGATTAGATTATTAAATATAACATTATTACAATTAATTTTTACTATTATAATTGATGATTTTTTTTCTTGATTCATAGTGTCAGAAACTGTGATACATTTTACTTTTAGGATATAAAGAATGTTAAAAAATAGCTTTATTTGTCATCTTTTGTTACATTCTAAATAATTTCTAAATGTAAAAACAAATTGCAAATAAAAAAGAAAGTTCAAAATATTCTTCATTCATTCATTTTCTTTTTTTGGCTTAGTCCCTTTATTAATCAGGGGTCGCCACAGCGCAATGAACCGCCAACTTATCCAGCATATGTTTTAAGCAGCGGATGCCCTTCCAGCTGCAATTCCCTTACTGGGAAACACCTATGCACTCATTCACACATATACACTACGGACAATTTAGCCACCACATATCTTTGGACTTGTGGGGGAAACCGGAGCACCCTAAGGACACCCAAGCGAACACATGGAGAACATGCAAACTCCACACAGAAATGGCAACTGACCCAGCCGGGGCTTGAACCAGCAACCTTTTTGCTGTGAGGCGATCGTGCTACCGTGACGCCACATGTAATCTTGTTTTACAGTATCAAAAAAAGTAAATAACATAAAAGGTATTTTTATCTTTTTTTGTTCATCAAAAAATCTTAAAAATAAAAGGTAACACAGAAATATTATAACATAATAACATTATTATTGATTTTATAGTTATTTTAACTTTTTTTTTCAATGAGAACTTTTAACTTTCGATTGGTTTTATTGTTATTTTTTATATATTTTAATATTATTATTGATTGTTATTGATTTTACTAATTGATATTATTGAATATAACATTATTATTGATATTGCTGAAGCAAGACAAAAATCTTTTCACTGATAATTAAGAATCATTATTATTAGTTTTTGTACCACAGAGTAATGATGGAGTGATGATGATGCAAATTCAGCTTTCAATCACATGATTTAGTAATTGAACTGAAAAATAAACTACATTCAATGAGAAAACAAATATTTCAGATTGTAAGAATATTTCACTATTTAATATTATTTTATGTTTTGACTCAGCCTTGGTGGGCAGAATTGTCTTCTTTTAAAACATTAACAAATCTTACCGATTCTAAACTTTTGACTGGTATTGTATGCAATGATCTACGACAACGGAAAGGTGACAGACAAATAAACATCATGATCCACACATTCCTCTTTGGTAATGTGCTTCTCTTGAGTGGCCATTACTTTGTTGACCAGTTAAAGCGGCATTAGAGTTTGACACGAGGATCAATGAAAGGTGGAGTGGGTGTATGTGTGTGTTTACGACGACTGGATAACAAATCGCTGTTTAATGTTCTGTTCACAGCTCTGAAGAGAAACCCGCAGGACAATGGCAAGCAGTATGCAAGCAGCTTAAAGTGTTCATGTATCAGTTACTTACCTGTGCTGATTCCTGAGTTGGCGATGACTGTGGCTTCACTCCATTGGTCAGCGCTGGACACAGAGTATGAGCGCTGATGCATCCCATCTGGCCGACTGTTAAACGACACCAAACTGATGCCACTCGCCATCTGAGATGCAGATGAACTACTGGTCACAGAGCCTGTGGGAGAGACAAAAGATGATAATTCAGATCAAATAATTTTATTTTAATATAAATTATCATTTATTTTCCAAAAAATACTCTTTAATGGATAACATATTTTAGTTATAAAACAATCAATTATTTAAAGACACGGATCAAACATGAATTTTACAAACTAATAATTGAAAGGAAAAATGTAAAACTCTGTCACAATTTTATACCCATTTTATTCCTGTTTAAATCAGATAATAATAATAATAATAATAGTAATAACAATAATTCCTTTTCTGGACACACATTGGGGGGAATCTCCTCATGCACCACCAGTGTGCAGCATCCCCCTTGATGTCACAACGGCAGCCATATTGCTCCAGACCAATTATGATATGGGGATGTTTAGGAGGCCATGATGAACAGAGGCCAGTGGGAAAATTTGGCCAGGATGCCGGGGTTAAACCCCTACTTATTTTTAAAGGACACTGGGATTTTTATCAACCACAGAGTCAGGACCTAGATTTAACGTCTCATCCAATAAGAAGCGTTCACTGAGCAGTATAGAGCCCCAATCGATACACTGGGGCGTTAGGGCCACACACACTGCAGGTTGAGTGCCCCCTGCTGGCCTCACAAGCACCACTTCCGTCAACAACCTAGCTTTCCCATGTGGTCTCCCATCCAGACACTGACTGAGCGCAGCCCTGCTTAGCTTTAGTGGGCGACCATGTGAGAGTTGCAGAGAGCTAGCCAGTTGTGTATTTGCTCTGCAATATTGTTGAATTTAACAATAAGTGTTGACTGTTTAACTATCGAGACCAATGTACGGAGATACATGTGATGAGGAGGGTGGTTTTTAGTTTGTTTTTTGTGGTAAGTAGGGAGGTAAGTGAATGATGTATAATTTCTTTCGATTTATTTGCAGTTAAGAGAGTTTAAAACTTAGTTGTTGAGTTTTTGTTATTTTGGCTTTCCCTCCGCAAGATGTTTATGTCTCCTTTAAATTTAAATGTCAAATAAACTTGACTTTACGTTATTATCATCTTTGTTGTAGTTTTCTTTTGAATGTGTTCCGGGCCCCTTATTAATTTTAGAGATGTCTTATTTAACTTAATTTTATTTATTGTTTTGTGGTCAGGCTTGCTTTGTGGAGCCGTGCAAAGTTTAGAGTACGTAACATTATTATATACACATTTTATTAATATCTAAAAAGTTACTAATATTAGAACTACATTCTACTGTACACTGGTGTATATGCACAGAGACTTTTTAGGTCAAGCGTCATGCCATTATAAGAATTGCAGCACTCTTTCTTAAAAAACAATGATCTCCACTGTCTGACTGACATCTGATATAAAGCATAAATATATATATATATAAAATATTATCAGGCCCTTAGAGTACAGTTATAAAACAGAGTTATCAGGCTATATTTTAACGATCTAGGCTCAAAGTCTAAAGCACATGGTGCAAAAGCATTAAGGGCGTGTCCGAATCCACTTTTTCTATTTTAAAGATGGAAAAACACAGTTTGCACCCGGCGCATGGTCTAACAGGATTGTGCTTATTCTCTTAATGAGTTATGGGTGTATGGGTTAAGCATAACATGCATCAAACCAATCAGAGTCTCATCTTCCATTCCCTTTTATGCTGCGTTCACACCAGACACAAATGAAGCATCAAACGCGAGTGATTTGTATGTTAGGTCAATACAAAGACATGAAAAGATCTTCTGCGAAGTGTTTTGCGCAAATGAGGCAGTGTGAATGATGCGATTCGCTCAAAGTTCAGCGTTTTGTGCGTTTAATGTGCATTTTGCGCAAAACGTTTGAGTTCAAACATTCAAACTTCAGCGAACATTCACGCCATGTTAACCAATCATGAGCTTGTTCTTGTAGGGGAGTGATTATGATGCAGTGCCTGTTGTTGGTGTCTCGAGGGGAAATCCTCTTGGCGACACCAGACACCAATCAATCAAACTAGGCTTGGCTCAGTTGGAAGCATCGCTGAAAGTCTCCATCATCCAGGTACTGTTTCTGAAGGAATTTATAAACTCACAAAGCTGGGTGCACCTCAGAAACGATTTAGTGGACTCAGAACGAACCTACACGGTTTTTCAGTATTCCTAAAGCACATAAAGCACAGCTATTCTCTCAATAAAACCTATGTTAGTTATTTAGCAACAAAGCTAAAGTCACAGGTCAGACAGAAGCCCTGCCCATGACACGAATCCATGTTTATTGTGAAGTGAATTTGACACGGGAATGAAGTGAATTTGATGCACAAATGAAGTAAGTAAACTCAAATTGTTCACACGACGATTTACGCACGAATAGAACAATTTATTCCCACATTCCACGTCTGGTGTGAACACAGCATAAGAGTGAGTTGTGTTGTGCTATGGCACATTTGTTGTTTACATGGCAGACTTTGTAAGTCGAAAAACTAAATGCTTCACTAGCGAGAAAACAATTAAACAGACCATCTGCAGCACGAGGATAAGGATTGAACCTCATCCATTCGGCCTCTTTGCTTTCTTTTTATTGTACTTTTACTCTTTCATTTACTCCTTTACTTTCATGGAGTAAGGAAACGGTGGAAACTCACATCCGTTAGCCAGATTTTAAATTTAGTTTGTAAAGCGCAAAGATTTGTTTTCAAAACTATAACTAATTTCAGTTCTAACTTCCAGCAAAAGAAAAATTGAACAATAATATTATTATTAATATATATTAAGTTATCCAAACAGGTGGACAGATCTAAACTAGTTTTTATTAAAACAAATATAAATATGCATATAATAAATAATACTGCTAATAATAATAACATTATACAAATGCAAACTCTCATGAATAAACTAAAAAAAGCCCCAGAGATGAAAGCATAGAGGCAGTATTTTTTATATTTATGTAGAAAATAATAATTTTATAAAATGTTTATAATTTAATTTTTTTTTCATATATATAAAGATATTTTGTGTGTTGCTGTACTTCCTGTGTGTATTAAGCAATATGCAAGCAGTTTTACTTGCATAGGTGCATAACTAACATGCTCTGCGCTGGACTTAAAGACCTGCTTTTAGCTGGTCAAGGACAAGGTCAATTTCAGTTACTCAAAATAGCAACGCGCCAACAATGCGCCTTAACACACCTCCTTTATAGACCAGCATACCCATGAGTCCACAAAGTGGTGCAAATAGATTTGCTATTTAAACAACGTGATGCAAAAACGTGAAAATTAGTTGCACTGGTCTGAAGATAGTAACAAATCGCACCATACACGTTCTTGCACCTTATTGTGCCGGGTGTATGATAGGACTCGTCCTGTCTTCAATAATTTACATTTCGTTGTTGTGACATTTATTTAATTTGATTGAATCTAATATTATTTATTTACAATAATGATTTTATCTTCAATTTATTCAGACAAAAAATTAAATAATCATCATACCATAAACAAAGGAATAATCACTGATGCGTCCATAATGTTTTTCACTTCTAGCTGTCATGTTCATTTGGCTAATGATAATAACAATAAGGCTAACTAGCTCACATGCAAAGAAGCTCTTGATCTGTTCTTGTCGACGAGCATAAACAGTGACATCGGATAACTGGAAGGTCAATTATCACCACCGTGAGTCATCATTAAACAGTGAGAGAGGTTCATCTGACTCACGTGGAAATGAAAGCGGACATCACAGGAAGTCAGATCTAATCGCACTAATAAGATTACAACACAACAGGGCACAAAAGAAATCAAGAGGGATATGATATGACGCGCACATACAGACTCGGACACAATCAGCCATAAGGCCGCTGGGATTATGAGCAGAGCAAATGCAACTCTGACAATTTAACAGTTTCCTTATTGACGATAGTAGTTGTGGTATTTACACCTTCTGCCAAAACCGCTTCATTACCCACATATTAAACATTTAACAAAATAATACCATAAATAAAATGCACTTTTTAAATAAAAAAATCACTTTAACAAAGAGAATGGTTAGGAACAAAATAAATACAACTTTATAGTTTATATTACATTTATTTTCTGGCAATCTAATTTTGTGAAGAGATGAATATGACGTCAAAAGTTTGACGTCAGTTTTATTTTTCATGTTTTTTTTTAATAATTATTCTGTTCATCTGTTCAACTAACTGCTTTCTTACTGCATGTATAGTTTCAAATGAAATTATTACTCCAGTCTTTATTGCTTTTATTACTATTACATTAATAATAATAATAATAATAATAATAAAAGAACAATAATATTAATAATATTTATTATTATTATTATTATTATTATTATTATTATTATTATTATTAATAATAATAATAATAATAATAATAATAATAATAATAACAATAATAATAATATTTGAGTGATTTCTGAAGGATCATGCGTCTGAAGACTGGAGTAATGAAGCTGAAATTGCATCTTTAAATCACTGGAATAAATGATCTAATTAAATTATAAACAATGTTTGAACAGTTATTTTATGGTGCAATAACAATTTATAATTTTACAATTTGTACTGTACTTTTTATTAAATAAATGCAGCCTTGATAAGCAGGAGAAGCTTATTTTAAAACATTTAAAAATCGTACGGACCCCAAACTTTTGACCGGTAGTCTATGTATTTGCTGAAACATTCTTTTTAACAATCTAAACGACTTTATATAGCAGGTATAGAGAGATGGCTTAAGGAGATGGCAATAAAGATGTCACTGGAGAAAAATAACATTATTAAAGAGTTTTTATTATTTACAACATTAAAGATTCTAGAAATCCTTTTGCTTTTTTAGAAAAGAAAATAATGTGGATACACTTAATGAGATAATAAAAGATATGTAGGTAATAATGGTGGATATGTTTTGTAATAAGAAGCCCTTATTTATTTATTTTTTAATTATATTCTATTTTAATGTAGTCTTTGTGTGTGTGTCTGTTTTTGCATTTCTATATGGGTACTTGTGTATACGAAGTTATAAATTTGTTTTTCCCGTTGTATATTTTTCTTTTGTAATCTGTTGACTTTTGCATATGAATGTGTGAGAACATTTATGCTGTATGTTTGTGGTTTGTGGCTTTACAGCTATTCTTCTAAAGATTTAAAAAGCAAAATGATAAAGGATTCTGCAAATGTAATTTTTTTTCTAGATCCATTTTTTTTTCGTTGTAATAAAAATCGTTAGCTGCATCCCAAATGGCACACTTTACACTATGCACTAAATACTTATGCACTTACACAAACAACAACAAAGTATATAAATGTAGTGTTGTCCCAAATAATACACATTTTTTTTTATACAAAAAAAGTAATTCAAACCGCTTCCCTGATGACATTTGATTATTGTCAAATTAGAAAAGTAACTTACAAATTCTCAAATAATACCTGCCATGATTATAACCACATTTACTTTCAGGAGGTGGTATAATCACTCTCGTAAGAGAATTTTCACAATCCAAAATAAATAAAGTGATCCAACATCAGCGCACGAAAGCTCCGTCCTTTCCACTACATGAGCAAAGCTGCAGTCGCAGTGCGTGAAGTGTCCAACATTCCACACACTTCATTTTAACAGTACAATAAGTGATTCCTCGGGTATTTAAAGTGCAATTATTCTTTTTAGGATAAAAGGAATATTTCAGTGTGAATGCACTACTTACACTATTTATACTACAAAATGGCGTAGAATAGTACATAAGCATGCGATTTGTGAGGCACCTTCTGTCTCATAACAGAAAACAATGGGCTTTGGGTTTTACCCAAAAATGATGTTTTACTACAGCTGTACTAAAATCTGTCACAGGGGCAGTACATTTTGAAACTGTACACTTTTATACCATACAGGTGGAAAATAATACCTCTAGGGTACACTTTTGTACCTTTAAGCTTCACGTTTATACCTTTAAGGCATGGGTCTCAAACTCTCAAAAGCTCTGCACAGTTTTGCTCCACACCTAGTCAAACACAGCTGATGCAACTAATCAAGGTGTTCGAGACTAAACAACTTGGTTATTTAGATCAGCTGTGTTTGATCAGGGTTGGAACAAAACTGTGCAGAGCTGCGGCCCTCTAGGAATCAAGTTTGAGAGCCATGTTTTAAAGGTATTGTATGCACATTTGCATTTTTTAGGTATTAATATGTACCCTTAAGGAGCTGTTACGTACAAAAAAATGTACCTTTAGAAAAGGTACCGTCCCCGTGACAAAGAGTGTACTGGCATCCTCACTATTTAGCAAATGTCCTTAAGTCAGACTTGTTTAGCTTATCTGACAACTTGTACAGCAAACAATTGTGTCCCTCATGGTTTAAAATGATACATGGATATTATTCTAATCACAGGGTTTATTTTAAATATTTACCTCCTTTTTGGTTGGTTGATTAGACAGACAGACAGACAGACAGACAGACATTATAGCAAATACACTAATGTAAATATTATCCAGATTGCTTTTTGAGAATTGAGCATTATTAAACGCTTATGATTGGTAACGGGCTCAACAGAAAAGGCTGCGATTGTTGTTTAGTTAGTTAGTTAGTTAGTGTTTGAAGACCAAAAAACTATTTTAAATTAATAAATATATGCCTAGAAACTTATATAGAAGTAGATAGTACATAAGAACAGATATGTAAATTAGTATTAAGAAAGGCAAAGCAACGGGAGTCTTTTTTTTTTAATAAAATAAAATAAAATAGAATAGAAATTAAAACAGAAAGTGTTAGTGTTATGCTGCGTTCACACTAGATGCGGATGAAGCATCAAGTGCGAGTGATTTACATGTTAAGTCAATGCAAAGATGCAAGCAGACATCCTGCAGCCGCGAATGAGGCAGCACGAATGACGAGATTCTGTGAATGAATCGGCACAAGTAGAGGGATTGCACGTTTTATTTTTATTTTTGCCAATTTTCCAGCTTTCATCCCATTTGCCATACCTAATACACACTGAATTATTAAGAGCTTTTATTCAACAATGGTGAGCAAAATATAAATAACACTCAATGATACCACATTATAAAAATCAGCAGTCGGGAAAAAGAAAAGGTTCAGTAAATATTTCTTTTTCTGGTGTTGAATATGTTGTTGCAAAAAGGTGTACCCACGGGCCTCCACTGGCCCGTTACAAACTCCACTGAATGAAATGTCATGACTCAATTTAATCTCCATTGTAGCGGATAAATCAGACGCAGCACCTTTGGGTAAATGGCAAAAAGTTGATCGTACTTCTGGAGAGGCCTGATAAACTACATTTTTACATCGGTGGCTGTCTGGAGGAAAATAAACACTATGTATGTATGAGGGCAGAGAAGGGTCTACGCACACACACACATGGCACAAGAACAGCAGTGTGTGAAGCAATGCTATAATGGATTCGTATTCGTGTATAATTAGAGCGTTTGCAAAAAGACATGTTAAGACCAAAGGAATAAGAGGTGCATGTGATCACACCGCTGCCTGAGCCCTACAGTCAAATCCTCCACTTACAAAAGCCTTCACTGCTTTCCCACTGTGAATTATCTCTCTTTTCTCCTCTACCACTGCCCCCCTCTTTCCCTCTTTCTCTCTCATTAGTGTTCATTTCGGACTTGCCTGACTGGAGAACGAGCGCTGATTGCATTAATATTCATGACAATAATTAGTACATGTATTATGGGTCACTGAATATTCATGCTATTAGTTTGGTCCTCCTGCTGGTGTGTGTGAATGTGTGTATTTATGTGTCTGAAAAGGGGTCTTTAACACTCCTTGGGGGGCTTAAGGATTGTTGATCCAATAAGTGTTATACGAATAACTAAACAATAACTTAATTGTTTAACTCACTACTAATGAAGAACGCAAACTTGGCCCATTATACAGATATTAAGACACATCAATTTGTTTCTAGAATATAATTTTTTCTTAAAAAAAAAACAAAACAAAAAAAAAAATACATGACAGAGACAGACAGAGAAACAGATAGTTAGTTAAACAGACAGACAGACAGACAGACAGACAGACAGACAGACAGACAGACAGACAGACAGACAGACAGACAGACAGACAGACAGACAGACAGACAGACAGACAGACAGACAGACAGACAGACAGACAGATAGATAGATAGATAGATAGATAGATAGATAGATAGATAGATAGATAGATAGATAGATAGATAGATAGATAGATAGATAGATAGATAGATAGATAAGATAGATTAGATAGATAATTAATTAGATTAATAAATTGATAGACAGATAGACATAGATCAATTGATCAATCGATAGTTAGTTAGTTATTCATATTGATAGACAGATAGAATGTTTGTTCAGTTGTTTAATCAATGGATAGATGGATGGATGGATGGATGGATAGATAGTTTGATAGTTAGATTGATAGATAGATAGTTTGTTAGTTAGTTAGATTGATAGATAGATAGACAGACCGATTAATTGATCGATCGATAGTTAGTGAGTTAGTTAGTTAATAAGTTAGTTACATAGTTAGACAGATAGATAGACAGATAGATTGTTCATTTGTTTGTTCATTTATTCGTTTGTTCGATCGCTCAATTGATCATTCGATAGACAGTTAGTTAGTTAGTTAGTTAGTTCGATAGATGGATAGATGGATGGATGGATGGATGGATGGATGGATGGATGGATGGATGGACCCACGGGCGGGCGGACAGACGGATAGATAGATAGTTAGTTAGTTAGATTGATACACAGATAGATTGATAGTTAGATAGATGGTTACTTAGATGGTTAATTAGTTAGTTAGATTGATAGACAGATAGATTGACAGACAGACTTTTCGATATATAGATAATTAGTAAGATGGATAAACAGATAGATAGATAAATTGATCAATCGATAGTTAGTTATTCATATTGATAGACAGATAGAATGTTTGTTCGATCGATAGATGGATGGTTGGATGGATAGATGGATGGATGGATGGGTGCATGGATAAATAGTTTGACAGTTAGTTTGATAGTTAGTTCGTTAGTTAGTTAGATTGATAGACAGACAGACCGATTAACTGATCGATCAATAGTTAGTTATTTAATAAGTTAGTTACATGGTTAGACAGATAGACAGATAGATTGTTCATTTGTTTGTTCATTCATTCGTTTGTTCGATCGCTCGATTGATCGTTCTATCGACAGTTAGTTAGTTAGTTAGTTAGTGTTGGAAGACCAAGAACCAATTTTAAATGAATAAATATATGCATAAAAACTTATACAAACAGATAAGACACAAGAACAGATATGTAAATTAGTATTCAGAAAGGCAAAGTAATAAAAGTTTTTTTTTAATAAACTATATTATAGGAAATAAAATAAAGGTTTTATGACCTAATGACAAATATGTTTTTTATACATTAACAATAAAATTAAAAACAAATAGCAAATCTAAAACCAAAACAAAAACGTTACATAGATGACAAAAACCCCCCCACCCCCCAGAAAGCATCATTATATTACCTGTTGCCTGTCCAAGCTGCATGTTGCTCATGTCCTTGGTCAGGCCATTGGTTTTGGGACTGGGAGCAGCGCATGTTGAGATGGCCCTTGGAGGCCTTTTCCCTGGAACCTTCACTGTGGTCCGAAGCAGGTCAATCTCCTTCCCGTGAACGTTCTGCATATAATCCTACAGTACAAATGACAAAAGCATTACACACACGCATTGGACACTTTAGATGAAAAGTGTCAACTAAATTCATCTTGTCAGCACACAGTTAATTTTGCCCACCCCCAGGAGGTAAAGAAATCGATATGAATATATTTGATATTCACATTGAATCCGTGCACCTTCATATCAGCCTTTTAGAGCAAACATAAAAAATCTCCCTCTTTTTCCTTTTCCGTGAATCGCAGCATGCCATCGCAGCATGTGTTTGGATTCTCACGGCGTTGTCTGGATTTCCGCGCGTGGCTTTGCTTGCGTTGATGATGAAAGTTACTCAATGCTAATAGGGATGCAATTACCAGCCGCAAGCTGTTGGCCCGCCACTCCTGAAGGGCTCTCCTGTGGCTTGTTAAACCGTGTTGAGAGCTCTTGGCTTTGAATTGCCCTTTTGTTGGCCTCTAGTGAGGGATGGACACGTTTCTGCTCTTGCTGTAAATTGCTCGGAACAGCACACATACACAGAGAAGCTCGGGCCTTTGTGTGATTTGATTGGCACTCAGCTGATGTATGGCAGTTCCGGGTGCTGCGCTTTCCCTCTCAAAGCATTGCCCCTGCTCATTAAGGCCAAAGACTCCACGTATCGGCTCTATTGAAGAACATATGTTACTGTGTTTCATGAAGGACGTACGCTCCAGGGACCGGTCCATATGTAACTCTTGATTTAAAATAAAGGACGGGCAAACCACTTGAGGGATTTCGTTGAGGGAGTTGGAGTACTCAAACGCGAACAGTTGATGAAAAGATCATCGTCTGGCCACTTCGGTGGCAGATGTGAATTTAACATTGACGAATCTTTCAAACCTCATTGTGCCAAAGCATAATCATGGAAGCTTTAACTAAAAAGGTGCGATTTAATCAACAGGGAATAGCTATGTACCTAAAATAAATGACAAAGTTGTGACGTGGTTGTAACAGATGTGCGTTATTTGAGATTTTTTTTTTTTCTCTTACTAATTGGGTTGCATCTATTGCCATCCACTTAATCAGCCGCATTAATGTGATTTCTTTTTCACATAGTTGAGCAATTAGGAGCCCTGATTGAGTTTCATCCTATTAGCCTCTGCAAACACTGTAATTGATGCCTGTGTAGCAGACACCTGCTGATGAGAGGAACCTGTTCACTGTCAAAAGAAGGAGGGGGACTGTATATGACGATGCACACTTCCTCTAATTCGCCCAGATGAGGATGTTAATTAGGGAATTAATTTGTGCAAGTTAAAATGACGTCCACAGAAATTATGGACACAATGCTTTCTGTTTTGCGTCAAGCCACTGAGATAGAAAAAAGTTATAGGCTAGATTTAATGTATCAGAAGGGCAGTTAAAATCAGGAGGGTTGAACATTTATATATATATATATATATATATATATATATATATATATATATATATATATATATATATATATATATATATATATATATAAAGCAAAATAAGAAGGAGAAAAGAAAGCTAGATAATATTTAAATACATGGAATTTTTATTATAGAAATCATATATAAATAGTACTAACCAGCACGGTGTGGATCTGCTTTTACACTGGACGTAGAAAGCGCTGCACTATGAAACCCATTAATTTTAATTGCTTGCAGTACGCAAGGGTGGTTTGTTGGGGTGTCAAATAAAGCGCAGGTGTAGTGGAACGCATCATCAACTAGTTTACATGCACATGCTGCATTCAAAGTTAAAAACAGCTTGATATTTCACTCATGTACACATATATTTATCTATGCATGAACCACACATTTCCACAGGAAATGCAAAGTCTGCTCAAATAACTCTGCGACAGGACATTTATTTGTATTATACTTGTTCTTGCTGCTTGCAATAGAGCTACAGTGCTGTCATGGGGATGCTGGTAAAATGACGCCTCTTGACTTTATTGTCAATAACGTTTTACTGTGAAAAAAAATGTGGCTATTTTATTAGATCATGTTTTTTAAAACCTTACAAAATTATTTTATATTATTTAATCAAATCAAAAATCATTTTTACATAAGAAAAATAAAATTTTAAAATGACTGTAAATAATCCAAGGGCAGTTTCATTCAGTGAACCACCTTATTCATACTAGTATTGACTTTGTAGCTGTCTGTCGCTCTGGGTGGCGACCTACTTCAAACTGAGGTCTGTGTAGATCTACAGCACCAACACAACCGGCCTATGAGTGAGCTGAGAGAGGAACACATGAGCTCTACCGGTGCTCCTATTGGCTGTCGCTCAAAAAAGTCGCTCTTGATTTGCATTAAGTTGAAGGATTCTCAACTTTGTCGAGCCGCTCGAAACGCCCACCAACAGCCGCTGACACTTGCGGAGACGGAGGTCACCGGAAGTCGCTCACTCTCCGTTGAAATTAACAGTCATTTGTCGCTTCGCCACTGCAAATCGTTCATAATGTGAATGAGGCTTAAAGCTGCCATGTAGTTAAGGTCAAAGCACATGATCTGCACAGTGCAACTAGTCGACGTCAATCAAAAAGCAACACAGCAAAGAATTAAAGTTGACAAGTCGGTGCAACCCCTAGTTTATACTGTTATTGTTTTAGATCGGTTCATGTTTCCCATTTTCACAAACAATTATTTTCATGACAAATTGTCTCTTGCAAAAACAATAAACAAAACTAATTAAAACTTAAAGATTAGGTAATCTAAAAAGGAAAATGTAAGGGTTGCTTGGTCTTGAGGATGATGTGTCTGAATAACAAAGCTGAAAACGGGGTAAGTAAAGATGCGCCGGGTTTCAGGCGTCCACTAAGATCGGATACTATACCAAAGTCAGCAACCCGGGGGTGTTAAAGACTGTACCAAAAAGTTGAGGACCGGGAAAGGGGGGTAAACTTACTGGAGTTTTCCGGGATAAATAACAAAATGTCAGGGTAGTGGGAAATGGGTATGAAATACGGGATACGCCCGGGAAAAACGGGAGTGTTGGCAGGTATGCTTATCTGTAATTTAGAACGAGTCCCAAAAAATGTTTGAACTTTGTGCATATTGTAGAACTGACTAGTTGCTATCTATCCATGTCGTCATTTTCCTATTTAATCTGTGGTCTCCAACAGTGTTTGCGTAATCACTCTGAGATTGGTTAATGGTAACAATAAGGTCTAAACGCACTCCAAAAAAATCTAGACATGGAAAACAACCAATAAAAGATGGCAATTTCCATTGATGTGTGGGCAAACACGTCGTCTGAGCTGGTGATTATGACAAGCCATTACAGCGTTATATTACACATCAACAGCGTCAGCCGTGTGCAAATAGATGAGCCGGTAATTAAGGACAAGACTGTCTTCAGACACCATGCTGAGGCAGACACAATAATCTGGTAAACGTCAGTGAAAAGGATATATAAAAACAAGAGGATATTACAGTGATGTTGAACTGGGGAAAAAACATTAATAGTGCAGGATTAAACTGATGATAAGGAAGGCAAATACAATACCCGTTAGGGCTGCACAATATATTGCTTCAGCATCGATATCGCAATGTGATCATTCGCAATAGTCACATCGCAGAATATGCAATGTTGAGTCTGGATTGTATTTGGTCATTTGCATGTCGTTTTTTTAAGGGATGAGGACTTTAAAAGCATTCAGGCATAAGAAATTATACTGTACCTTTGAATAATGAATAACAATAAATGTTATTTAATTGTTTATAGAACGATGACTATGCACAGTGTTGCGGAAAGTTACTTTTGAAAGTAGTGCATTACAATATTGAGTTACTCCCCCAAAAAAGTAATTAATTGCGCTACTGGGTTACTTTTTATGAAAAATAATGTGCTATATTACTTTTGAGTTACTTTTCCTTACTTGGCTAAGGTTTGATCTCTTTCAAAACTTGCAGGTGTTTTTTCAACTTTTTTATAGAAAAACTCTGTATTTAACAACCACCTAAATAACCTACACATTAATTTTCCTTTAAAAAATGTAGTATAAAATTATATTTTGAGAACTTTCTAAGCCCAGAGCTATACATTTTGTATAAAAACATTAATAAAAGCATTTAAATTAATGTGTTTGCTACTTTTGAATGTTTTGGATTATTATTTCGGTAAATACACTGTCCACTGAGCTAAAGACTGCAATAAAGCCTAAAAGTACTAACATGAAATAATTTATATCAAGACAAAAACAGATTTTAAACCTTTAAAATGTTTAATAACAAAATGAACAGTAAGACGATAAAAACAAATCAAAATCAAAATAAACCTTTGAATTTTAGAAATTGAATACATTTTTAGACATTTGAATTGCTTTATTACAAAACGTAGTCGCTTCTACAGTGACTGCACCTCCTTAACAATAAAAGCAATAACCATTTTTTTTGTTTGTTTTGTCAAATTAATTGTTTTACCTGGAGAATGTGAACTGATGTCAATCATAGCTGGACGTGGGGTGCGGGTGTAGTGCTTCTTGTTTTGTTTGGTTTTCTTTTCGATGTCGTGTTTCTCGCAGTTGTCAAGAGTTTAACTTACACATATTCTACACTTAATGACAATCCAATTATTTTCTTCGATAAATTCAAAATAACAAGAATCCACAGCAAAAATGATATGTCTCCGGCCTGCCGTTATTTCTGTTTTGAACTGTCTGTAGTGATGACGGGCGATTCACGAATGAATCGTTTGTTTTAACCAGATCTTCTAAGTGAACCGGTCGAATCAGTTCATTAAATTGAGTTGTTGTGAAACGGTTTGTGTCTTCAGTAAGTACTAACATACTGGATACCCCCTCTGATAGAAATAAACCCATATCCTGAGTTATTCAGTAACTAAAACAGTACACAGACTCATCAGCTATGAAAAACGAGACATGATGATGAGTGCGAGGTGACTGTCTGTTCCCTCACAGCACACTTCTCTCACTGAGTGTGTGTTTTAATCCGACTAAAGTCATTTTTATTCAACAATATATTTTGTGAAAGCCAATTAAGCAAGGTAAAAAGTAATTTGCGTAACATTTTTTAAAAACTAACTGAAATAATATTACTTATTTTAAGTAATACATTACTTTATTCGTTACTTTGGAAAAGTAATATTATAATGTAACGTTTGTAATGCTTATAACACATTACCTTCAACACTGACTATGCAGTGTTGTTAAACATTTGATTATTTAATTAATGTATATACCTGAATATTGTTAGACTACTTGGGAAAACAATAAAAAAGTTTATTTAGTTCATCTTTTTACTCATTGTATTTATCTTTGCTTGGACCTCGCATTCATTATATTTTATGAAAATGCACTTCTCTACAGAGTCATAATCATCCCAGTCAATCAAAAATGATCAATTCTTTCCAAAACACTTATTCAAGTCATCCAGTGAAATTATATTCATATCGCAACATATATGGCAGAAAAAAAAACATTGCAATGTTTGATTTTTCCGATTTCGTGCAATCCTAATACCAGTGTACTCACCGAGAGTTAGGTCAGGGTATATGCAGGAATCCTTAAGGTCATTTCTATACCTTTTTAAGACTTTTTAAAGACCTTCTCAGAATATTTTAATACCTTATCGTCACTACTAACTTAATAAACAGGTGTTAATAAACAGTTGTAGTTAAATAAACCAATGGAGCACAACCATGCAACCAAACTCAAATAAGCTCAGAAGAAACAAAGCTTGAAATAATAAATTAAGCGGTTGTTTTCAGCGACAGGTTTCAGCCACTTTTTAAACTCGTCGTTCTACAACCAGGAGAAACTTACAACTTACAAACTTACATTTTCCAATTTTGCTGTCTGTTTTGCTTTATGGTTTCCATACATGTGGAGAGTGTCACATCACCTTCCAGCGTTTGTCGCAAATTACATGACATCACCTGGACAAAGGAGCTTGGCCGGACACGCCCCGGCCCAAACCAATCGTGTGGATCAAGCAGGCCGTTGTTAATATTAGAAGAAAAACAAATATATATTTATGCTTTTCTGGACAACGCTTGAACAAAATTTAAGACCTCGTAAAGACGCGATTAAGACTTTTAAATACCTTTTAAGGGCCTTAATTTTGTCATAATTGATTTATCATCATACTTTTTAAGACCTTGCGGACACTCTGTAGGCAAACGTGTGTGTATGAGTATGTATGTATTGATACTCACATGCAGACTGGGATGATACGTGAGGACTCCGTTGTCACAAAGTGTGACGTATTTTTTCTTCCACTCTTTGTTCAGTGACTTGCCACTTCTTTTCAGCAACATGCCCTGATACACAAAGACAGAGAAAGACAGTTCATTAGCCAAAATCATCCAATAATTATTGTGAAAAACATTGGCCTGAAAAATAGTCTGTGAGAGAAGGCTAAAACTATAATTTCTTCCAAAATTCACACTGAAAAAAAAAATCAATACACTTAATTATAATAGACTCAAGTGGATATACAGTTTATTCACACACTTTGAGAGGAAGAGCTAGAGAAAAAATAACCACTGTGAGCTACAAATGCAAATTCCCCTAGGAGTGTTAGCAAGCACATTAGCACTATGACACGAGCACTAACCTTCCTCTCCTACGCACATCAGTGGCGGCTGACTGCCCGTTTAAGGGTCCGGCCGCCCACACCTCATTTCAGCCAAATTCATTAGGCAAGAAGGGAATAAAACTGTCCGCTGATTAGCAATTACGCTGCTGCGGCGGCGTGTCACTTCGCTGGACTTGTTAAACATTAACGTGCAAACAGGACGGATAATAATAGATTTCTTGCTCTGGCTGCCACGAAGCGTGTAACACCAGAGCCGACAAGTTTCTGTCACTCTCTGCCCATTTCTCTTTGTCTTGTTTTTTTTTTTTCAGTCACTCCACAGCCTGCATTTTCATTAAAAAAATGCCACAATCCCTAACTGTCACACACCGTTAAACTGGCCTAATTATGTGGTAATTGGTATCTAAACACAGTCTGAAGGGGGGAAATGATGTACAGACTTAAAGCTGAAAACCTGTAAATAAATTATCAACACAAAATATACAAGACTTAATAACTCAAAGCAGAGAATAACATGGTATTAGACTGAATGCAGATTTTCAAAAATACCAATTTTAGTCTATATTCAGACTCAGACTCAACTTTATTAGACTGAAATCTGTTTTTACGCTTCATTTTGAATTGAAAAGTTAATTAAAATACATCAACATTTATATACAGTTGAAGTCAAAATTATTAGCTCTTCTGAATTATTAGCCTCATGAATATTTTTTCCCTTATTTCTGTTTAATGGAGATATTTTTTTCAAAACATTTTTAATAGTTTTAATACCTAATTTCTAATAATTGATTTCTTTTATCTTTGCTATGATGACAATACATAAAGTTTTACTAGCTTTTTTCAAGACACTAGTATTCAGCTTAAAGTGACATTTAAAGGTCTTACTAAGGTAAATAGGCAAGTCATTGTATAACATTGTATAAAATGTTTGTTTAAAATATGCAAAACTGATTTAATTCTAGCCGAAATAAAACAAAACAAAAAAGACTTTCTCCAAAAGAAAAAATATTATCAGAATTATTATTCTTCCTCTGTTAAACATCATTTGGGAAATATTTGAAAAAGGAAAAATTAAAACCATAAAAGAGATAATCATTTTGACATCAACTATACTGTACTTATTAGAGATGCTCCGATCAATCAGCCAGAGATCTGTATCGGCCAATAATCACATTTAATAACCTGATTGGTACTCGCTGATCTGGCCAATCTCATGAACCAATCACAAGTGTTTGTGTTAGTAGGGCATGAGCAAAAATATTTGAACGACCTTGCATGTATTTAGGCCTTTTTACAGAGAGAACTGAATGAACGTCTGTGTTTTTGACAATATTACAAGTTCACTAAAACCTGGTTGGAAATATTACATAAAACATTTTTTAACAGGAATATTTAATGATATAACTTCTTGTAATAAACTTATTGCAATAAACAGGCATGTTTCCTTACGTAAAGAAGGAATGGATTGATAGGTTTGCATTTTAACTTCTTATGCATCAAATATACAATACTAATTTTTTCTTCATCAGCTATGTTTCCATCCAAAAATGCGAATGAACTTTATGCACAAAACTGTAATATTGCATAAAAGATGTGCAAATAAAGCAGCATTTCCATCCAACGAATCAAAGCGAACAAAATCGTCACTTCCTGATTACTGGTGCCAAATATCAACAGTAAAAACGTAATTTGCTGCAGTAAAAGAAGCTGCATCAATCTTTTCTTCATCTAATAAATGACTTGCACCTCAGAAGGCAATCCTGAGACACAGTGAACGCGTGGTGGCGTTTGAAGGTGTCAGATGCAGAGCACAGACGCTCTTGATTCTGGAGGTGACTTATAAAATAATAACACTAATGCTGAAATGGTTAAGGCGTTTTAGAAGGACCAAAACAACATTTCAGATGTTTTACAATGCGCTCAGCCTGCTGGTTTATCCATTCGCACACATTTTCATCAACACATGATCTCTTATCACAAAATCACATGACCTTTTTTAATAAGCATAATAAAATATGTGCGGTTAAAATGTTTCCATCGTAGTACATGCACATCTTTTCTTATTGAATAAAAAGTTTATCCTACTCAGTTATGCTCATACGTTTTTTATGCGCATTTTCACAATTTATGCGCATCTTGGCATTTTCATCAACCGTTTTTTTATGCACATATCCAAAATGCACATACATATAGGTGGATGGAAACTGTTGGGAAAAAGGAATAGATTTTTCTTCTTTTTTTGTCTCTTTTTCTTTTCATCAAACAATTATTTGTATTGGTCATTTAAGTGTCATATATCAACTGAACCTCTACTTTTGTGTGTGGACTGCTGTGCATACTAATTAGCATTTTTGCAGAAGTAAATACATTCTGGTCCAAAATTAAATTCAGCTCTGCAGAAACTTCCTGTCTGAAGAAAGGTGTTAAAACAAAACACAAAAGTCTTATGCTTTTTTTGTTGTGCAGAAAATTCATAGTAAAAGAGGACTCATGTCTGGGGTGCGGCCAATGGAGGACTGGACAATGTTTGACAAATGACGAATTTCACTAAACTTCACCTGTTAATATCAGCTGCCAATATAAGCTGAAGTCAGGAAATGAAAACTGTTGCGCACCTCTTTAATGTAACTTTTGCATTGCATTAAGGCTAACAGAATTCTGTAAATCGAAAAATTCATTTGTATCCAAAAAATTGTTACAATTTTTGACATTGAAGTAAAATCTCTACTTTTTTCTTAAAACACGCATGGAATAAATTAAATATTCCAACAAAACATAGCTAATGAGACTAGTGGAATTTTTCTTTCATCATTTGCAATGTTTCCAAATTGCACTGTCATTTTTCTTACCAATTTGGTAATTTTTTAATCTGCTTTATTTACTGAAAAGCTGCTTCTGCAATAATATGTTCACACCTAAGTGGCTATAAGGTACATGTTTAAGGGATTATATGCAACATCCTCAATTTGTTCTCCGAGGTAAGGTGAGATCTCCACTTAAATTTCCTACTTAGAGGAAAAATGTGCTGTAGGCATTATCAAGCATCAGAATCAGTACTTACAATTGGCCGATCACCATGACAAGGAATTGGTACTCTGTATCTGCTAAAAAAACTTGATCGGGCCATCCCTAGTAATTATGCCATTCATTATTGTGAAACTGTGCCTAAAATCCTATATATTCACAAGAGATCAAGGTCACACTTTATTTTGATGGTCCGTTTGTTAAATTTAAGTTACATTGCATTTACATGGCAACAAATTATTATTAAATTTGAAGTAGACTGTTAGGTTGGGGTTAGAGTTAGTGTATGTTGTCATGTACTTGCAAATTTCTTATAGTTAGTAAAATGTCTGTTAAAGGAGCAGTATCAGCAGATAATAAGCAGACAGTCTACTAATACTCAAATGGACCAAAATCAAATCTATTTAAGTCTTCAGCTAGTAAAACAGCAAAGCACACGTTTTATTATGATATATTCTAGTATTCATTTTAAAGTATCATTCATATATACTGCAGAACTTTAGCAAGATCAGTCTGGCCTTTGGTGACACATATGTTTGTTCTAAACTCATCTTGGTTTTTAGATAATGAAGCCTGCCGTGCCTGTTCTGAGATCAGTCTGGCCCCCGGGTGGTGGAGCTCTATGTGTGGAAGGACATTCCCTCGGGTCAGTCCGCACATCTGTACACCCCGGACCCAGCATTCAAGACAAGAGTAGAGGGTAGAACAACAATGGGCTCTCCTGCTGTGTGCTAAACACAAGTTGACGAGCTTTTTAATTCACTAACAAGGGTGCAGCCGCTAGCAGCCCATCTGTCACAAAGGGTGAATATCCATTACTTCATTAACTAAGACTGTGCGCTTGCTTACGCATGTGTGCTAGGGGAAAAAAAGAGGAAGAAAGAAAGAGGGAGGAAGAAAGGAAATGGACAGATTGAAAGACAGAAAAAGGAGATGATGTTTTAATGACGGTGTAAGCGTGAGGTCTCGGCAGGCATGTTGTGTTGGGCAGGTAGCTCTTATGTCTTCTGCCTGGCTCTGGTTTTGGATGGAGGTATATTAATTTAGCACATCCATCGGGAAGATGACAAGCGATCATTCAGCGGGAGAGGCTAATTGAACACCACGTCACTTCTCTGATGGGAGTAATCGCTCATTATTTAAGGACCGGGCTGGTGACACCCTGCTTGCCACTATTTTACCCTCCCATGGCTGACAACCTGCAAGGTCTTGTAATGTTGCAAAACAGGGGCTAAAAGAATAAATCTCACGCAGGCGTTTTCTACTTGCAACAAGCCTGAAAATGGAGCACCTGTGCTTTTTAGTGGAGCACCAATTGAAATGAGGCTAAATCAGCCAATAAAGATCAACACAAGTGCACAAATAAACGCCTGAATGAGAACGATGATAATACCTTTCAGATGATTTCTTAAAGCCTTGTCTGGTTTAGTCATTCTCTTATCGATAGGTAACTTGTGTCAAATTGTGTTATTAGACAATCTGGTTATATCAGCTAACCCTTTATTTTAATGGTCTCCCATTTTATTGAGCGTATTCAAAGTTCCATGTCAGCTTAGTCTACTTATGTTAACACAACAATCGCAACAACTAATACTCGAAAGACTTGCAACTGCAAAGTTACTTGTAATCAGCAATAACTAAGGTTAAACTAAACCTAATTGAGAATAAAGTAAAATAAAAACAAGTTTTAAGACACGT